GCCTCGGCCTGGGAACCCGCGTGGGTGTCCTGGCTGGAAGCCCCCGCCGCCCGCCGCGTCCAGGCGCCGGCGCCCCTCAGCCCCTTCCGTCCCCAAACCTCCCGCACCTCCCGGGGGCGCAGGCCCCACCCTGTCTCCCGGCAGCACTGGGGCCACCCCGCACTACCACAGTCCAGCCAGAGACCCAGAATCCCTCCCACCCCCCCACTGGCCAGTGTGTCCCGCTCACCCCCTTATCCCAGTGTCCACTCCCCCCTGTCCTCCTCCCTGCCAGGCCTCCCTTTTCTCCTGGCCAGACCTCCGTGCCTCTGGGCTTCCCCTCTAACCCATCTTCTTGCCAGCAGGAGGGCTTTAGGAAACAGATGTTGCCCTGTAACCTTCCACGGCTCCCTATTGCCCTCCAGAGAAAGTGCAGATGAACTGTCCTTCCTGTCTTAACTGCCTCCTCTGGCAGCACCCTTGGTCACCCCTGGAACCCTATCTCCAGGGCTGTTTACGGCCAGGAATACACTCCTCACCTCTAGCTGCGCCAAAGCCCCTCCCTCACTGTCCTCGCCTGGTCTCTCCAGAGCTGCGGCAATGGGAGGCGCAGGGGGAGCTGCTGCTGCCCCTCACCTTCCTGCTCCTGGTGCTGGGCTCCCTCCTGCTCTACCTGGCTGTGTCGCTCATGGACCCGGGCTACGTGAACACTCAGCCCCAGCCCCAGGTAACTGGGAGCCCCCGGGAGCCTGAACCCCTCCAGCCTCCAGAGACCCAAGGCCCCAGGCCCATCGTGGGCTTTCTTGGTCCTTTCAGAGAATGCTCTTGCCAGGGCCCAGAGAGGGCAAGTGCCTGGCAAAGGTCACACAGCCTTGCTCTGTGCAGCCTGCTGTGCCCCTCCCACACCTCCGCTCCCCAACCATGTTGGGCCCCCAAGGAGATGCCCACCATGCTAGTAGCGGCCTCCCCCAGGGCCCCATCTTAGACCTCACCCCTCATTTTTCAGGAGGAGCCCAAGGAGGAGCAGACAGCCATGGTCCCCCAGGCCATTGCCCTCCGGCGCTGCAGATACTGCCTGGTGCTGGTGGGTGACGCAGGGACCCTTGGGGAGGAGTGAAGGCCATGCTGAGACTCCCTGACCTCCTCCTCCTGCCCCAGTGCCCTCCTCACCCTTCCCCTCCGTGGGCAGCCCCCGGACACTGAGCCACAACTCCGCTCCGCGCCCATAGCAGCCACTGCGGGCCCGGCACTGTCGTGACTGCCGCCGCTGCGTCCGCCGCTACGACCACCACTGCCCCTGGATGGAGAACTGCGTGGGCGAACGCAACCACCCGCTGTTTGTGGCCTACCTGGCGCTGCAGCTGGCAGTGCTGCTGTGGGGCCTGCACCTGGCGTGGTAGGTGCCACCCGCCCAGGGCACGGGCAGCATAGGCGGCGGGCACCCCTAGGCAGGACGGAGCCAGGGCTCCTTGGGGCGCCCGTCCCACCCGCAGCCCTGACCCGTCTGTGCTGCAGGTCTGGCCTCCACTTCTTCCAGCCCTGGGGGCTGTGGCTGCGGTCCAGCGGGCTCCTGTTCGCCACCTTCCTGCTGCTGTCCCTCTTCTCCCTGGTGGCAGGGCTGCTCCTGGCCTCGCACCTCTACCTGGTGGCCAGCAACACCACCACCTGGGAGTTCATCTCCTCACACCGCATCGCCTACCTCCGCCAGCGCCCTGGCAACCCCTTCGACCGCGGCCTGACCCGCAACCTGGCCCACTTCTTCTGTGGCTGGCCCTCGGGGTCCTGGGATACCTTGTGGGCTGAGGAGGAGGAGGAGGGGGGCAGCAGCCAGGACGTTTAGTGTCCGCGGAGGCCGCCTGCCACCTCGGCCGGGCCTGGGAGGGCCGAGAATCCCTGCCTCCCGAGCACAGCCCCGCCTTCCTGAGGAAGACGTGAGGGAGAGGATGGAGGTGGTCTGAGCAGCTAGACACCAGGCCCCCGGGCGCCGAGGCTGGGCCTCCTCCTGTGCACTTTTACACATTTAATAATCCACAAAGCCAGTCAAGTATTAAAAAGACAAACCAAGCCACTCCTCACTGTGGTACCCTTTCCAGTCCAGCTCTTGGTGGGAGGACAGGAAGGGGACGCTGCGTGGTGACAGCCCACGCAGCAGCCCGACGGCCACCACCTTGAGTCCCACAGGATCCTCAATACCCGAGAGCCCTGCAGCTGGGCAGGGCACCCGCAGGCACCTGCAGGTTCTTAGGGTCCAGGCAGGCCTCACTACAGGCCTCAGGGCTGCAGGAAGCGCTCAGACACAAAGTCGAAGTCCCGGAAGGCGGCCTGCTGGCGGGCACTCAGCGGGCTGTGCGGGCCGGGTGGGGTCAGGGCAGGTGGCAGCCCTGTGAACTCGCCCTCGAAGTAGCGCAGGTCCGAGGGGCCGCAGAGGATGGGCACGAAGGGGGGCTGCACGGCTCGGGCCAGCAGGGCCTGCCAGTCGGTGGTCTGGGGTTGAGTGCAGAGGCGGCTGAGTGGGCGGGAAGAGCAGCCCCGGGGTCACCCCAGGCCCCCACCCTGCCAGGAAGCGGGGCTGCCGCGGCTGGCCTCTCACCCTAAAGAACGGCTGGACCTTGATCTCCTCCGCGTCCTGCTTGCCAGCGCCCAGGCGCTGCTCCGGGCACTTCTGGAGGAGCTGGGCAGGGAGCAGGTGTGTGTACTTGGGGTGTCGCAAGGTACCCCATATGGCTGCGCCGGGGACCCCAAGGGCAGCAGCAGCAGAGCCCAGAAACCGTGAGCAGCTGTGGAGCCTGGCCCTGGCCCCCGACACACCTACCTTCTGAATGAGCTCAAGGGCTTGCGCTGACAGAAAGTGGGGGTACGGGGCGTCTGTGTTGACAATGCAGTCGAACACCTCCTCTTCCGTGTCCCCTGGGAACGGGCACTGTGGAGCGGGGGGCTCAGCAGAGTGTGGGGGGCACCTTGCCCACCACGCCCTGGAGCCCCAAGCTCACCTCGCCCACCAGCATTTCATAGAGCAGCACGCCCAGCCCCCACCAGTCCACAGCCCACGTGTACGTCTCCTGCGTGAGCACCTCGGGCGCCAGGAACTCCGGGGTGCCGCAGAAGGTGCTCGTCCGATCCCCAAAGCCGATCCCTGCAAACCAACATCCGTACCAGCGCCCGCTCGGCAAGGTGACCCGTTCACCACGGTATCAACGCCCGATACCAGAAAGCCCAGTGTGGCAGTGCAGGCCCGTAACCCCAGCACCCGGGAGGCTGGGGCAGGAGGATCACCAAGGCTACAGGACTAGAGGATGAAGATCTGGGACAGGCAGCCCCACCTTCTTTGCACAATCCGAAATCTGCTATCTTCAGAAAGCCTTGGGCGTCAAGCAGGAGATTATCCAATTTCAGGTCCCTAAGGGCAAAGGAGCTTTGGCAGTGGGGACCAGGAGGAGCCAGAGCAGCCCACTGCCCTGCCCCAGCATCTCGGGGCAGTGTTACCTGTAAATGATTTTCTTCTCGTGTAGGAACTGCAGCCCCAGGACCACACAGGCCAGATAGAAGCTGGGGATAGGGTGGGAAGAATTCAGCCCCGGCCGGGCATCAGAGAGGCATGGGTCACGCACGGCACACAGGTGAGAGGCAGGTGGAGGAGGACTATGCGCAGGCTGGGCAGTAGCCCCCAGACAAGCAGCCCAAGGTCACCTCAAGGTTGCTGCGCACTCAGCCCACCCTTCCTGAGCTCTCCCACTGCACACTCTCCTGACATCCTCCACCACAGCGGCCTGATACCCAAAGGAGGACCTGAGACTCACAGCTAGGGGTAGGGCTTAGTGAGGATCAGGTCTTTCTAACTCCCAAGAGCCTTGCACGGGGGATGCAGAAAATAACCAGCTGCCAGTTCTCACGTCAGGCAGGTTTTTTGTTTTTTTGAGACAGGGTCTCACTGTGCAGCCCAGGCTGGCCTCAGACTCACAGGAGTCCTCCTGCCTCAGCCTCCTGAGTGCTGCACCAGCAGCAATCTGTAACTGTTACCTGCAGCATACTGGGAGAATGGAATGAGGCTTGCTGACAGGTTCCCAGAGGGCACATGAGGGAGGGAGTTGGGGCAGGGCGGGGCACGGGAAGTGGAACCCACCGGGCCTGGGGCTCAGGGAAAACATCCTCGTGGATCTGCATCATAAGGTCACCGCCTTGCACAAACTCAGTCACGAAGCAGGTGTGGCTGGAGGTCTGGAAGCAGGCGAGGAGGGACAGCAGGAAGGGGTGCCCTGTGTGGCCCACGGCCTCCAGGATCCGCTTCTCACAGTACAGGCTGTGGGGAGGGAGGGCTTGTGTCTCAGCCGAAAACCGCCACGGGAGCCGGGGGTAGTGGCACACAGCTGTAATCGCAGCACTGGGCAGGCTGGGGCAGGAGGATCGCCATGTGTTCAAGGCCAGCCTGGCTACACCGCAAGACCTTGTCTCAAACCACCCCCCAAATATTTTAAAAAGTAAAGAGCTGGGGATATAGCTGAGTGAGAAGGTCTTGGGTTCAATCCCTAATAGCACAAAACACACACAAAAAAACCCTTCGGTGGGCAGCGCCCTGCCGCCCACACAGTACCGCAGCTCACTGGGTCCTCAGAGTGCCAGGTGGGCAGAGTGACGGTGCCCATACAGCAAAGGCGCATGGGGTCACTGAGCCCGCATGACACCATGGGCTCAACCGCACAGAAGAGCACACGAGGTGCTGAGAGAAGAGGGCCGTGCCCCGCAGCCCACGGCTCCCAACTGCAGACGCCAGTGAGAACGCAGGCCTGCCAGGGCCCCGCAGCCTTCGGGTGCCCCCGCCGGCCACAGCCCAGGCCAGCCCCCGAGAGCCCTCTAGGGACCGTGCGCACCTCTCAACCTCGTCCCGGCTCAGCACCTCCCGCTTCTTCAGTGCCTTAATGGCGTAGTATCTCCCTGTGCCCTTGAACTGGACCAGGAGGACCTGGGGGCCAGACAGAGGTTGGCTCTGGGTGGGCAGGACCGGGGTGCCTTTATTCCTTGCCCACGATCCCCAGGCCCCAGCACCTCGCGTGCCCGCTGGCCCCATGGCACCCTCCCAGGCCACTACCTTGCCAAAGTGCCCACGGCCCAGCACAGCCAGGCAGCGGAAGTCCTGCAGCCGGGGGGGCTTCCTGCAAGATACAAAGGGCACAAGAAGCCCAGGGGGCCGGGCCAGGGTCCCCGTAAGCCACTCCACACCCTCATGTCCAGCCACGGGACAGCCGCTCGGGCACAAAGGGGATGGCCATCACTCTAGTCGCAACAGCTGGAGCTTACTAACAACCCTGAGCGGGGAAGACCCTGCCGGCCGGCCGGCCCCGGCGCCCACCCCAAGGAGAGGGAGCACAGCCCGGTGGAGCACCTGCTGGGGGGCGCTGGCAGGGCGGGCGCGAGTCTGGTCCTCGGCTCCATGTGGGGGCGTTTGGTGCGCTGTGGGGACAGGGGCTCAGGCCAGGGCTGGCTGCTGCGTCTTGGCCTCCAGGCCTGCCACCCCCAGCCCTTACCGGTGTCCCCTCCGGCGTGGGCTCCTGGGGCAGGAAGAGGCGTGGGGGCTTGGGCGGGGGCTGGATCTCTTCTCCCAAGGGGGTCTTCTTGGGCACATTACTGCGGGGTGCAAGCAGACACATGGCCGAGCTCAAAAGGACAGGCCAGTTGGCTGGACACAGGGCCACGCAGAGACAGGGGTGGAGAGACAAACAGGGCGGAGAAGCAGACGTCTGGGGCTAGGAGGTGCCTCACCCGGGGGACGCAGGCTGGGAGGCCCCATGGGGTGTAGTTGGAGTCTGAGGGCACCCTTTGGGGGGGCTGGTGGTGCTTGGCGAGCTGCAGGGGGGCAGCAGGCTCATGACCAGGCGCCCCCACGCGGCCATGCTGAGGTTCATCTGCGAAGCCCTCAAGAAGTCCTGGCCTGGGGCAGAGGGGGGTCAGCCCTGGGACCCCAACGGCTCCAGCCCTGTCCCCTCCACACGCACCCCTCCCCGCCACACCTCGGCGTTTGGAGAAAATGCGTTTCTGCCTCTGTAGCCGGGGCCGCCTCTCAAGCACAGGGTCACAGAAGGTCACCTGCAGGGGCCAAGGCAGAGCTGACGATCGGCCCCTTCCCATCCCATCTGCCACGCTGCCTTGCCCACCCCAGGCCGCTAGGCCCGGCCCACCACCAACCCACAGATGCCAGAGCCAGAAGAACCCAGAGAGGCGGAGTCCACACCCTCGGTGGTACCAGCGGAGAAACTGAGGCTGGGGAAGAGTGGCCTCTTCAGAGTCACACGTGAAGCAGGGCAGAGTCAGGACAGGGACCCCAGCCTCAGACTTTCCCCTGGAGACCTCCTCGCTCCCGTCAGTCTCAAAGGGCCTTCAAACCCTGCACCCAGGGGCCACCGGGTCAGAGGGCAGGGATAGGCGGCACCTGGGCAAAGAGCCGGCCCTGCGGCACCAGGCTGAGGGACAGCTGGTGGCAGGCGTTGTCCAGGAAGTCCTCGAGCCTGAGGAAGGCCACGCCGCACAGCTGCCGCCAGTCCCGCCAGTGCACTCCGATCTCCAACTCCCGGGCCTGCGGCGGGGAGGCCAGGCTGAGGGCGGGCAGGAAGCACCCCAAGCCCGGGGACCTGGTGCCCCACGGCCCCCACCAGCCCAGATCCCAGCACACCAGCCTTACTCGCTCCAGAGGAACGGCAAACGTCTGGTCCCAGCACCGTTCGGCCGCCTGACCCCAGCCCGTCTGGCCCACAGTGCGGTTGTCCACCTTCAGAACAGCCAGCACCTCACCTGTGGGGCCGGGGCCGAGGCCAGGGTTCAGGGCAGGCAGAGCAGGGTCACTGCTGCCCCCCACGGCTGCTCCCCTACCACTCACTGGTCAGCTCGCCTCCGCTGCGCTGCTGCCTGGCCCTGGCCCGAAGCCAACCCTCGGAGGGGCTGCTGGCCAGCGCGGCCGCCGGGGAGCGTCCGGGCACGGCCGAAAGTGGCTGCTCACAGCCCAGGAGGTGGACCTGCAGTGTCCCTAGGGACGTGAGGGCCCAGTCAGATGCCACTGCTGATGTACCCTGGGACCCCAGCAATGTCACCCTCTCCACAAGATGGCCGACCCAGACATGATGTACATGGGACCTTAGTAGCCACCTGCCATACTCAAGATGACCAACTGGTGTCCCCCCACCCCCCGCAGGCCTTCTGTCATCCCAGTACCCAGGAGGCTGAGGCAGGAGGATCACTTGAAGTTCAAGGCCAGCCTCAATTACATAGGAAGCCACCGTCTCAAGAAAACAAACAAAACGCCCAGACCTCAGTCAGGTTATGGTGGAGTCCGGTGGGGCCAGTGGGACAAGATGTGGCAGGGACCAAAGCTTAGGACAGGGAGCAGGAAGCCTGGCTTTCAGCCTTGGCCTCACTTGTTCCCTGGGCCTCAGTTTCCCCATCTGAATAATGGAGGTGAGTCCTAGCTGGGGCCCACCTCACCTGATGGGTACAAAAATGAGTGGGCTCGGTTCCAGAGTCACTAAGCTTTGTCTCAAAAGGGCAGAGAAATCAGTGGAGGCCTAGGACCTCTTGAGGACAAGAATTGGCCCAGGAGCACAATTTATTCAAGGCTGGGCCTGGGATTCACACAGAATGTGGCCCATCTGGCCTCCTTGGGCCTGGGGCCATGCACGCAAATTATTTCTTGATGGTCAGTCAGTTGCTACAAAGAGATCTCAGCACAAGGTAAGAAAGACCTTTCTAAGCCTGGTATAGTGGTGCACACCTGTAATCCCAGCACTTAGGGAGGCTGAGGCAGGAGAATGACAAGTTCAAGGACTGGAATCCTTCCCCAAAGTGCTTCAGGGTCCCCCCCAAAAGTAAGGGGCGCTCTGAAGCTGGCTACCTGTCAGGGCGGTGGGCTTCACTAGTGTCCCTGAAGGCTGTGGGTTCCCAAGTGCTGCCATTCGCAGCTCCCGGGCCACCCTGCTGTGCAGAGGGTGGCCGGGCGGCAGGCCCTCCAGCAGCCGCTCCAAGGCCAGCCTGAGCAGGTCCAGCTTCTGTGAGGATTCTTGGAGCTGGGTCTGGGCCTACAGTGGGGACAGGGGCAGGGACAGGACGTGGGGCGCAGGGCCCAGGCCATCTGGAGACGCCCTGCGGGTGCTAGCAGCACTCAAGTCCCATTTCCTCGCCTGCACAGCCTGGCCTGGTGCCTCGAGTCACCGCACGGGGCCGAGTGGAGCCCAGCGGCGAGGGCAGGGGACGCGGCTGACCTCGGCCAGGGCCTTGCGGTCCTGCGTCCTCCGGCCACCAAGCAGCTTCACCACGTTCTTGGCACCCTCAGCCACTGCAGCCTCAATGTGTAGTCGGTGCCGTAGCTCCTCGGCCAGCAGCTCGGGGCCTGCTGTGTGCGGGACACTCAGGCCTCAGGCCCGACCCGGCCCTATGCTGCCCACCCGCGTCACAAGGTCGCAAGGCCTCAAGGCCTCACCTGGCTCAGGGGATCCACTGGCCTCCAGGCTGCTGATCTTCATGCGGAGCAGGGCCACCTTTAGCTGGGAATCCCGCAGCATCTGCTGGGCAGCAGCCAGGAGCTTTCTCTCCTACAGAGATGTGACGAGTGTCTCCCAGACCAGACCCGGGCGGGGACAGAGCCTCCCCGTCAGACCAAGGGTCAAGGCTAGGCCTTCCTGTCAGACGCCCAGGAAGGGGCTGGGGGGCCTCGGGCCAGCGCTAGGCACTGTTTGTCAGTCTCTGGACCACAGCCACGCCCTCCCCAGGCCCCAGGGCTCGGGGCTGTATATGTCCACCATCTGAGGAGAGGCTGAGACTATACCTCCCCTAATATCTGTTTTTTGTTTTTCTTTGAAACAGGGTCTCACTCTGTAGCCCAGGCTGGACTTGAACTCACAGCAATTCTCCTGCCTCAGCCTCCTGAGTGCTAAGATATGGGCATCTGATAGCCACCACACCCTGCTTCCCCTAACAACTGACAGCCCACTCTCTCCCACCCTCCCATCTGTCCAAAGGCCGAGGCTGTGCCTCTTCCACCGGACCCCAGGAGTCAGGCCTTACCTTGGGGGTGCCACTGGCGCAAGTGTGGGTCATGTTCTCGGCCCCCTGCTTTACCTTCAGCTCCACTTGCAGCTGCCTCTGCAGGGCCTCCAGGTGCCGAGCCTTGGACTGCTCTGCCCTCGCCCGGGGGCCTGAGGCCACAGGCTCTGTACAGACAGTACAGGTGCAGGAAGCTGTCAGCAGGGCTGAGACCCCCTCCCCCGGCTCCACCAGGGCACATGAGTGACAGGGGCACAGGAGGAAGTTTGGAGCAGTGAGGCAGCCTGCAGGTTCCAGGCCACAATGGGAGACAGGGGCCTGCGTCTGTAGGAAACGTCAGATGCCATCTCCTCACCAGCCGGGCCGGGCAGCAGGACTTGGGCGTGCAGTTCCCGCAGCTCGCAGTGTAGCTGCTCCAGGCGGCGGTTGGAGGATCGCAGCAGCTGCTGAACATGGCCCAGGTGGCGGCGGTCTGTAGCCACGCGCCGCAGGTTCTCCATGCCCTCCTTCATTTTCAGCTCCTTCTGGATAGCCCGGCGGATCACCTCCTTCTCATCCTCCAGGGGCCGCTGGCCGGGCTCACCCTACAGAAGGACGAAGCGTTACTGCAGTCCAGGAAATAGGGTCTGGCCGCCAAGATGGACACAAACAGCTCCGGAAACTCTCCACCCTCAGAGCCAGGTGAGATGGCGCACACCTGTCATCCCAGGGCTTGGAAGGCTGAGGCAGGAGGATCGTTGCCAGTTCAAGCCTAGCTTGGACTACACAGTGAGTTCAAGGCCCGCCTGAACTACATATCGAGACCCTGTCTCAAAAATCCAAAGCAAGCAACCAGAGAAGAGGGAGGGGAGACTGCTGAGGCTGCTCTGGTGCTACGCAGGTCCTGGGCTGTAGTCTACAGGCGGTCACACCTCACCGCAACCCTCCAAGTAGGAGAAAGGCTTTGTTCTGCTTTGCTGGGGCTGGAGAGTCAGGGCCTCGAGCCCTCCGAGGCCTGGAAGTTGTTATCCCCCCACGACACAGCAGAAACGTGCACAGTGGCCCACGGGGGTGACACAGGGAGAAGACACTGTGTCTCAGACACCAGCCCCACCTCGATGTCCACGCTACAGTCTCGGAGTCTGGGAACTGAGGTAGACACTTGGGAGCCAGAAAAAGCTCAGCGCTGCCCGGCAGGGAGAAAGCAGCCGGCGGCCCAAGGCCAAGCCTTGTTCCTCTGACCTCCCAGTGCCACAGGGACATCCAGGGGGCCGGGGAGTCACAGTCCCAGCCTCCACTCCGCTCTGGGAGGAAGTAGAAGGCTCCTTCCCTCCACCCCAGGCCAGAGCCTCCCTCTCTGGAGCCTACACTGCAAACCGGGCACCCAGGAAGTCCCCTCTGTGGGACCCCGGCAGCCACCCCATCTTACCTTTCGGCCCGCCATCTCCTGAGCCCGGGGAAGAGTGGTCGCTCAGCCTCGGGGACCCCCACCAGAGGCTGTGCCGGCCCGGCTGTCTGAGGGCAAGGGCGAGGCTCAGGAAATCCTCTGGCCGCCCCAGGCAAGAGGGCCAGAGCCAAAGGCCTGAGCAAACAAAGATCTTAGGAGCTGAGGGCCGGCAGCAGGGGTCCTGAGTCACCCAGCTGCTCAGCAGGGCGGAGGCTGCAGGAAATCGGAAAATGTGTGCGAGCAGGGCAGGGAGGGCAGAGGGACTTCTCGGAGGAACAGCGCGGGAGGGGTGGACTCAGCCCTAAGGGCTGCCTAAATCTGGGTGGGGACACCGTGGGGGCCCGGTGTACTACACCCCTCTGCTCTGGGCCGCAACCCTGACCACACACCCCTCTGACACGCACACGCGCACAGCCAGCGCGCCGGTGGCTAGTTCCTGGCAGAAAGCCCGGGGCCTGCCACTGGAGCGCTCTGTGTACCCCGAAGTCCCACCTGGACGCCGGGCTGAGCGCCTCCCGCCATGCAGCTCACCCTCGCACCCCGCCGGCCTGGAAAGGACCCCACAAGCACTCAGACTGGCCCTCCCCGCAGCGCACACCTCCATCGCCCCCAGGCAGGTCCCGGGTGCCTCAAAGGGCACGCCCCACCTCTTTCCGGCTAATCCCCATTGCCTCAGGGTCCCACGTGGAAGAACCGATTTGGGGGTATTCCGCCCCCGCGCCCCCGGTGGCGCACAGCGCGGTTCCAGACCGGCTCCTGCGCTGGCCTGACCCAAGGCTCTGAGTCACCCAGAGGACAGCAGCGACTCCGCCCAGGGCTCAGGTCTACCCTGCAAAGGTGCCACGGGCAGCGACGCCAGGGGGCCCCCACCCCCGCCCCCTCGCGCTCACCTGCCGCCTCGCCCCCTGCTGCATGGCGCCGCTCGGCCCCTCCTCTCGACCCCTCGGTTCCGGAAGCCCCGGCCTCTCTGCCAGGACTTTCAAACTTGAAACTTCCCGGGAAGCGGCGCGGAGAGCTGGGATCGAGCGCCCCCTCCCGAGGCCCGAGGCCCG